CTATAGGTCCATCGCCTCCGCCATGTGTGCACCTGGAGTCCCAGACATGATGGCGGAATTCCATAGCGAGAGCAAAGTCCTCTCATCCTTCATCGTCTCTATTTTTGTCTTAGGATATGCAATTGGTCCAATGTAAGTTCTGTTCGCCTCAAGGTAATGAAGCCTCCCGTAATAATCAACTTATGCTCGTCAGCTTCTTTGCTCCTTTATCCGAGCTGTATGGGAGACTGCCCATTTACCACAGCTCAAACATCCTCTTCACTCTGTTTAGCATTTTGAGCGCTGTATCACCAAACCTGCCGGCCATCATTATCTTCCGTTTCCTCTCTGGCGCCTCGGGTGCAGCCCCCCTAGCTATCGGCGGTGGCACTATAGCTGATCTCATCCGACCCGAGCGACGAGGCTTGGTGGTGAGCGTCTACTTCGTTGGTCCCATCCTTGGACCAGCACTGGGACCGGTCGCGGCCGGCTATATTTCACAGGATCTAGGCTGGCGATGGATTTTTTGGGTCACTGCAATCCCTGTGAGTGCTTGTCGGGTACCGTGGTCTGATTCCCATTGCTGATCAAGAGCCACAGTCCGGTGCCTTCACGTTGATTTGCTTCCTCTGTCTGCGGGAGACATATCCTCCAAGACTGCTGCATCAGCGTGCAGTGGCTTTACGGAAAGCTCATCCCGAAAGCACTTTCGTAGCGCCGGGTGAAAAGTCGGCGTTGAGTCCAAGTACGCTCCTTCTCAATGCACTGGTTCGGCCAGTCAAGATGTTTTTCTTGAGCCCAATTGTGCTTGTTCTCTCAACAATACTTGCTTTAGCATACGGGTATATGGTAAGCCCCACGAGGTTTCTACACAATGTGGCGTGAGGCTGATAGCAAGCAGTACATACTATTGACGACATTCACTCCGGTCTTCACCTCGGAGTACGGCTTTTCGTTGGGCACAGTCGGTTTAGTCTACCTTGGCCTGGGCGTAGGTTTCAGCGTGGGAGCAATTTGCAATGCGATCTTCAACGACCGCATGGCCAATCGACGAACTGCACGCAACGATGGACATCGTGAGCCTGAGTTTCGACTGCCTATCATGGCCAGGTCGATCTTGCTTACACCCTTGGGACTATTCTTCTACGGCTGGACCGCGCAGTACCACTTGCACTGGATACTCCCAATCATTGGCTCAGCCCTTCTCGGAGCCGGACTAATCCTTATCATGGTGGGTGCTCTAACATCTTCATACATTCCAGATACTAATCACGCGCCCAGATGCCGTTGCACACATACCTCATCGACGCGTTTACGAAGTACGCTGCTTCTGCGATAGCGGCATCTACCATCTTTCGCTGCATCGTTGGTGCATTTCTGCCACTCGCAGGGGAGTCATTGTTCAATCGGCTAGGGCTCGGCTGGGGAAGTAGTCTTTTAGGGTTTGTCTCACTTTTGCTCTGTCCGGTTCCGTGGCTACTTCCAAAATATGGCCAGGCGGCTAGAGAGAGGTTTGCTGTCACATTCTAAATCACTCCATGACACACGTAATTACCTTAGTTCACAGACCGATCACCAGGGAGTAGAAGGGCGATGGTTTCTATTCAAGAATATGTCTTATCTAGCTACTAAGAATCGTTTTGCTATTGTTGGTGGCGGATTACAGGTTTAAACTCTTATTCTGAGCCATAAAGACATTAATATGGATTATGAATCCATTTTCTGGATTGAGCATGTTTCTTCCGTGATTAATATCTGGCTTGATCAAATTCACACTACAAATTTGCGGCCTTAGAGTGACCATAACCTTGACTTAGTAATAGAGATGCCTGTGTCACGAAATCCTCACCACTCTCTTGCCCTTCCTAGTGATCTGTCCTCTGCCAGAGTCACACATGGTGTGTACTCAATGTCGAGATGTGAGTTGATAGCGAACGGGTCTTCGACGTGCATATTTATCAGCACATGATCGGCACAGTGTGTTGAGTGATTCCAGTTGATAGCATAAGCCGGAACTGTCGTTTTCCATCGTGCGGCGCTGCTGAGAATTTTCCATGTTGCAACACAATGCCAACGATGAAGATCCATAGACACCCATTTTATGTCTTGCGTGCCCTTCATAACTTGGGGTAGAGTGATGGCCTTTGTCGCATTTTGGTCCTCAAAGAACTCCCACGGCCATACGTGCTCAAATTCGTCAATGAGTTCGGGAGAAGAGCATTGTGTCGGCATCCAGTGGAGCAGAACGTCATCGTAGATGCAACCTGCTGCGCGGGCTTCGTTGGGCGTATGCCCGCATGCTGAGGACGGCTCCCAGGCGCGAAAGGTCTGTCCACCGTCAACGACACTCCATTCTGGGACGATAGTAGACATTTTCGTGGGTGAGTCTAGGAAGTATGCTGCCAAAGCAAATGAAAAGACCAAGATGGCTCCGGATGTGGAGTAGCCAATGCCTTGAAAGATCTTCCTCCAAGGGAATCGTCTTGGATAATGATTTAACACCTGCTTCGACGCAATTTCCTCCAGTATGTCGTCGTCATAGCTGCTGGACTGAGAGGATAAGAGCCTCTCTTCCGCTTCGTTGCTATGGTCTGTGGTAGTTGACATTATTTGCTACTGACTTAGGCAGAAAAGTTGCGTAAAAAGAGTAGGGTAGTGTAAAAAAAAGTTGCTTTACATGTATCCGCTGTACGACAAGACCGTGGCATCCTCTATTCCACGTTTGAGTAGGACTACAATCTGCCCAGGTGGCTACAGAATATGTGAGGCGGACTTGCTTGAGTGAGAGTTCTGCCTCGGATTTTTACGACAACTACCCGACAAAATGCGCTAACAAGACAAGGTACTCAAGGTTCAGTTGTAAAGCATGAGTGCGGAACCCGATAGATTCTCCAAGCTCCCGCTAGGACCCTTATGAAGTGTGTCACAGTTCAAAGCTTAAACACAAAGTCGAGAACACCCACAGGACTAACCGAGCACAGAACGTAACGAAGAGCTTGTCCCTTCTTACCGGGATCCTCTCGAGAAAGCAAGTGGAACCACCTACTGTAAACGGTACTATGACTGCACTAACGATATATGGACGTCAGTTTCGGAAGTTAATCGACTTGAAGGAGGAGCTGGGCAGACGACACGGAGACTTTCTTCTTGATCGCCCAGCTCTGACTATAAGCGACCGTCATATCCTAGCTACAAGCTGAATCGGAGATGATGACGCGGAAGATATCATCCCCGCATGGTTGGCCTAGGCAGAATCAAATGTCATGTAGTGCCGACATATGTTATCTATCGCCCCCTCAACAAGACTGCCTATCACGTACTTCCAGTCACCACCGCTGTCACCGTGCAATCATGGCAAACCACCGCGAAAAGGTCACAAGATTCGAGAAGAATATGGACAATAGCCTTTCACCTTGTCTACGACTTCTTTTCTTTCTTCTAGGCTCATCGATATGCACCCTTTTCACTCTTCTGGTTCCCTTCTCTCCATTTTACGGAACTGATCACGGGAATCACGGTCACTCTGATACCAACCTCGGGCTCATCACCGGCCTGCTCAAGGACAAATTCCCTTGCGGCAGAGACAATCCCACTGCATTGTCACGTGGGTGCAAGTTTGAGTCATACACGGCGACATGGCAACCTCCGCAATGTTTTGACTCGGCTCTAGATGCCGAGTTCCGCCAGACTCGCCCATGGAAGTTCTTCACGTCTCGGAATTCAACCACCGAGTTATCCTGGTCTGACGTGGAGAAGATCAAACCAGGACAGGCGTGGACGACATGGGAGTTCCATCTCTACTCTTGCGCGTTTCTGTGGAAGAAAGAGGTCAAGATCGCGCACGGATTGGTCTCTGGTACCATCGACTACCACCAGTGCCTAGACCATGCGTTGATGCACGACTATGCGAGGCCCAAGGACCATGTGAGTATCCCTTACTGGCCTCGCTTTACTTCTTGTCGACCGCCTAGCGACATATCCGTTCACCAATTCGATTTGAAGCCTGGTGTGAAAAAGGGGCTTGGTAGCGATGGACAGCTGGCTGAAGTGCATGGGCATTCTCATATTCACGGGGCGAACAAGGAATTTGATCACAAGCCAAGGGAATAGACCAGTTTCGTCACTGGGGGAAAATGTTGCAGCAGACTGATCAGCCAATGGCTTCGTTCTCGGGCTCGCCATGCAATAGTATAGTTACCATTCCTACCATAGATCCCACATATCGTAACGATTAACGTAAAGTCCTCTGGTCCTCATACGTGGGTAACGAAGTTCGTTTCAAGTCAAAGTACAATACCCTGAACATTGTGAAAATCACAGAAATCACAGTCTAGACTACCGGGAACTGATCCATCATTGGGCAGACAAAGTAAGCTACACACTATTGTCGATAACCGAGAGCGACAGTGTCGTCAGAACTTCACCTTACGACTAGGTTCACAATAAGGATCAAGGTTTTTTAGTAAAAGCAAAGCAGGGCAACTACTTGTTCTCGAAAGTATCCCACTTTCCGCCGTTTAAGCTTCCGTCATCCCACCCAGCAAGCGCAAGGTTGGAAGCCTTTTGTGTGCGTGCCCAAACTATCAACTTGGCCTTGTCAGAGCTGCATAAGGGGACTCAAACGCGGCGGGGATCCTCTTTGGGGTCATTGGAGCAAGAAAGTAACGCGAATCCACTAGGAAACCTTTCCAAATTGAGTCATTGTTGCTAGCTATGCTCTTGGTGATACACGGTTCCGCGGATGTACGGCTCGAGCCGGAACATTAATCATTATTCTATAAGCTAGTATATGCAAATGGAGATATTCCAACAAACCTTGAGGTAATCGACTACCGCAGATAACGTGACTAGGTCTGCTCGTCTGCCACGAGGGTGTCGGAAGACAAGCTGTAAAAGGGAGTAGGAACGCCATATATGACCACGTTAAATCCCACGCTGTCTACCTTGGTGTTCGAGCATCTAACAAATCAGACAACTACAATACACCAACTATATCTGTTATCATTATCCAACGACTCACAATGAGATTCACCGCCCTTACTTCCGTTGCGATCCTTGCAGCCACTGCTCTTGCGGCACCGGCCATCCAGAGAGAGGAGAAACGGGCTTTCGTCACTGACGAGCTTGGTACGTGTTTGGAGCACTTCTTAAGATTTCGTAGACAATTAAGTGGTCTAACTGACGAGCAAAGATCCTCGCGCGTTTGTCACCGAAGACAAACGCGAGTTTGTGACTGAGCCAGAGAGACGCTCCTTTGTTACAGAGGACAAGCGAGGATTTGTCACTGAGGAGAAGCGTGGTTTCGTCACCGAAGATGAAATGGAGAAGAGAGGTTTCGTCACCGAGCCCGATATGAACAAGCGTGGCTTCGTGACGGAGCCAGAGAAGAGGTCTTTTGTCACTGAGGACAAGCGCAGCTTCGTGACCGAATCCGAGAAGCGCGGCTTCGTCACTGAGGATAAGCGCAGCTATGTCACTGAGCCAGAGAAGCGCGGCTTCGTCACTGAGGATAAGAGAAGCTTTGTCACGGAGCCCGAGAAGCGCGGCTTCGTCACTGAGGATAAGCGCAGCTTCGTGACTGAACCCGAGAAGCGCGCCTTCGTCACTGAGGATAAAAGAAGCTTTGTCACGGAGCCCGAGAAGCGCGGTTTCGTCACTGAAGAGAGGAGGGGCTTCGTCTCTGAGCCTGAGAAGAGATCCTTCATTACAGAGAAGCGTGGCTTTGTCACCGAGGACAAGCGTAGCTTTGTTACGGAGCCTGAGAAGAGATCTTTCGTCACTGAAGACAAGCGCGGCTTTGTTACCGAGCCTGAGAAGCGTGGATTTGTCACTGAGGAGAAGCGCTCTTTCATCACTGAGCCCAACAAGAGAGGCTTTGTCACCGAGGACAAGCGTGCCTTCGTTACTGACGAGGACATGGAGTAAAACTCATATGATCTTCGGTACTTTAAGAATGATGGAGACGATGGAACAGACAAGTGGTGGTAAATGGTACAGATTGTCCTCTCGGGAGGCGGTACTTGCTGGAGTTTCTCTTGATTAGGTTAGACAAGGTAGCTTCAACAGCAGACTGGTCACTGAAATCAAAACTCTTGTCTCTCGCTTTACATTGGTTCTACTGCGATGACGGAAAGACTGTGTGTCAACGGTGTGCCATCAATGGAACTGATAAGCTAGGGATTAACACGACATTGAACGATGGAGGAATTGAAAGCTAGCAAGCTTGTATGGCATTGAGAGCTATTCTACTGACAAAAGCTACAAGAGGTGTTGTTTACCGAGGCCATTTTCTTTCTACACGTTGCATGTATTTGATTGAGGCATTGCTGCCAATCACCCGAAAGCTAAAGCAACCCTAGATTCTGCCCTACTCAGTGTCACCAGTCAGCCAGATTTCGTGGCCGTTTCCTTCTTTTACGATGCGACTATTCAGACACCCTAAGACTGCAACACCACTTGCAATCCACCAGACCAAGCCTGTGATGTTATGGGACGACCCGTAGCTATACACGATTCCCGCTATGGATGAAGTCGCTGACCTTATCAAACCAGACAACAAGAATGCGCTGCTATGGGTTCGCGCTAAAGCAGACGGATGCGGCGAAGACCTGACCAAAGGATGTAAGCCAATGTGAGCATTCACAACAAGAACGATATCAAAAGCAGCTTACAAATTGGTCAGAACAAGTTGCGCTGGTACGACAAATGTGGATGTGCCCACCATCATGATTTGAACCAGGATGATGAGGAACCAAACGACGAACCCAGTTTTACCAGCTGGTGGTGGTGTAGTCGAGGGCATAGCTGCGATGTAAGGCACGATGAAGTAGAGTAGCGGCATCCCAAGCATGAACTTGCGCCACATCTTCAGAGTCCCGAGACGACGGCTGATGCGGGGATAGATGAAAAGTTGTGTGGGTAATCCCATCATTCCGACGATGAAGAGAGACCACATAATTTGGTCTGGCCTCATCCCGGCTCCGCCAGAAAAGAAAAAAGGGAGCTTGAGTTTGCCTTCTTTGTCAACCGGGTCGCTGAGGAAACTCGTCCACAGAGTGTTGTAGGTCGTGATGTGATACTCCTGGATGGCGTATGAAACAAGCGTGAGACACATATTTTTAGTGAACATGCGCCTAGTTGGTAAGATCATGGGAGTTGTCTTGACTGCCTTCATTGGTGACCTTTCCTCTTCGGAATCCCTTTCAGATGGGTCAGAGTATTCCGTGATCATATGTGACATCTCTTCGTCAGTGGCATCCTCATGGCCTGCTCTGGTTGCTGTCGAGATCTTGGTTCCAAACAAAAGGTATCGAACTCTTCGGGTGAAGGCGACGCCAGGATCGTATCTATCTTTCAGGGGCTCTAGAGTCTGTAGAAACCCAAGCTGTAAGCCTGATTCAACAATTACGAGTGGAAAGCAACGAGCTCACTTCTTCTAGGAAAAGCAAGACCGCGAAGAAGGCCAACAGCATGATAGATCCGCTGAGGATAGCTGGTGGTGCATACGGCCACGCTTTCAGAAATGCATTATTCCCAAACTTATCCGGGTATTTCCCCGCTAGGTCAGCCAGCTGCCCGGCCATGAGGGGACTAGCCATGGCAGCAACGTTGAAAGAGATCGGAAGCAACAAGAAAGCATGAGGCTGAAATCTTTCGGGATTGTTAGCTATTGCTAGCGAATTCTAATCAACCTGAGCAATGACTGACCGTTTCTCCACGACAACCTCGGAGACCATCGTCCTCACTGTCGCCACATTTCCGTTGACTAGACCTTCGAGGATCCGCAACGCCAGCGCCTGCTTGAAATCTGTGATGAATCCAAAAGCAACACATCCAATAACTACATTCAAGGACTTGAACGTTAGCGGCCGAACGCCGTCTCTCATCTTACATCCAGTGCATGTGATGGCGGGACTCACATGATCCAGCTATTCCCCCCATTAGAACAAGCTTTCTACCGCCTCTGGGAGAATCGGCCAGTTTCCCCAAGAACATTGACGAAAAGCATTGTGATAGCATAAAACTTGTTTGTAAGTAAGCGACTTGTCGGACGATCGCTCCCGAGTCTAGGGTCGCATCTAAGGACTGCAATTGATAAAACAAATATGTCTAAGACGCCTTGTCAGCGACCCCCACATCTGCACATCGTCGTGGTGGAAAGAGCCTACTCACGAGCAGTGAGATGCTCACTACCGGCTCGGCAAACCGTAGGAAACATAAAATGGCGAGCTGGTCCTTTCGCGGCAGGGACCGCCAAGTCACTTCGTCTTTCTTGGCTTCCATATCAATTGAATTCTTGATAATAGTCAAATATCTCAAGCAAAGCTTCGGTAAACGTTTTGGTCGTCTCTTCCAGGTCAAACTTGCCGTAGACAAGCCAGAGATCTCAATGCCTTGCGTTCTTCGCTTTGCTCACCTTGATTGAGCTCAACCACTGGCGGGACATCTCCCAACACATCAGTTGCATCCGGCTGCATCCCAATTAGGAAAATCAGAGCTCCGAGTTGAACCCGACGGCGGCGGGGTAGCTCCGTGCAAGCTTCGGTCCGCAGTGGAGACGGACAGATTGAAACAGTGCTACTAAACCTTCACGCAGGCCACCTCGGTCCGCTACTTAGCTATCGTCAGGACAAGAGGTGTCTGTTGTGGTGGCTGCGGGTTTCGATCGATAGGCCGCCCTAGGATAGTTGAGCGAGGTAAACCTCACTGCTTCAGTTGGGTTGCAATTCAGTCGCACATGGAATCCGTTTGATCTGCATTCAACTCTAGTCAATAGGGATGGGCAAGAACGTGACTTTTGCGAGCAATATGAGGAAAGCGGCCAAGTACGACGTCCTTGAAGGGGGCGAAAATCTGGACGATGATGAGTTGGAAAGCCTCGGGGGCATGGACCTAGATCACAGTGGCCCATGCGGTAACTCCCCGACCTTCCCAGACGAGTGGAATCGTGATCGTGTCTTATGGGATCAGCGTCTCCTCAAGATTCGACGAGTAGCCTGGGCCGAGGGTATACTGCTAATTGTTCTTCTCGGATACATCGTTTTGCTCAATATTGGTACCGCCTGGCCTCGAGAAGAAGTCACCCCGTTGGGAGTTGACCCCAGTGGTTTTGTCCCGCCAGGTGAGCCAAACCCTTTCTTGACGCTAAAATGCGGCCCTAACTCGAGGCACAGAAATCGGACAGCCTGTCAAGTGGGCTAAGTACGATGATGAGAGCGATCCGCACTATTTCAAGCCCGACGTTTTCGAGAGCCTCGAAAATGTGCAAGCTGCTGCGAGGGATTTCAAGATGCTGCACAACGGTTCGTTGACACTACGATACTTTACTGAATGGGTTCCAGTCCAACTGATTCGTTGCACAGCATCAAACGTGAGAATCAACGGAAAATACAGCACGTACATGGATTTCGATAACAAGCAGCAACCGCTCCCTGCGTATGTCACCCGCAAAGGTTCAGAGCTCTACAGCATACGCGCTTTTCACCAGATGCACTGCATTGTAAGTATATAGAACTGCAGAAGTGTTGAAAGAGTTGAACTTCTGACACGAGACCAGTCAATCATTTTTGAGGATATCGGCTACAGGGTTAATAACAAGACGTCAAAGTGGGAAACGGGCCATGTCATCCACTGTTTGAACACGGTGAGGTCAGCGATAACATGCCTAGCGGACGCGACGCCAATTTCTTACGTTCATGGTATGGGTGTTGGCCACACTACAGACGATCAGCAGAGTCATTGCAGGGACTTCTTTGCGCTGAGGGAGTGGGCCCACGACCCGGCACGGGCAGTGAAATGGGTCAATGTTGCACCAGAGGATGAGAAGGATAAGTATGAGGAGATTGTAGACTAGAGTCACAGTATATAATTTAAAACCAGCTGGGTGGGTGATGGATGAAGATCCCAGTAGCTTTTGAGAGATGTGCTGAACCATTCTTGAGGTTGGAGTTTACAGTAAGAACGGCGAGCCTTCACAACATAAGATGGCAGCAAATATCGATTCAGCGAGCCGTTGCGCCACTACAGTAAGAACAGGCACACCACGTGTAGAGTGCTTAACACCAATCCAGAACTCCCTCATCCCATCAACCAAGGTTCATGTCTAAACTCTTCCGAATGTGAGCGGTGATAGCATCGATCTTTCTCGTCGGGTAAGTAGATGTTTTCGCACGGTAGCCTCGCTTCAGTGACCACTTACATGTTCTGAGTCGAAGACGCTATAATGATTACCTGTCGTCTCAATAACCTGCTCCACAAACCCTTCCAGCATATCCTCCCAACCAAGTTGAGGTAGAAACCGAGTTCTATCAAGCGGACACTTCTCAGCCGGGTCCGCCATAGGCACCAAGTCTTTAGCTCGGATTAGCACCGCATGTGGCGGAGTCGGGTCGACATCTCGGGAGCGGGCTGTACCAAGAACACCGGTCCTCGGCAACGCCCACGACGGAGGGTCCCACTGGTCAGAGAGACAAGTCGCTCGCATGAGAGCAGTCATAAGCTTGTCGCGGGTTTCTTGGTTGATACCAGGAAGAGCTGGGGCGTGATGTAACTTTGCCGGCTCCTTTTGAGCTTCAGGTCGAGGGCAGCGAGGGTAGACTGAGTCTATGAGGATGATTCGCGATACGCGCAAGCCACGGCCTGACATCGCTAGCATATGGGCGATTTGCACTGCTAGAACGCCTCCGAATGACCATCCTATATTCTGGTCAGCGCCCGAAGCGATTGGTTTAGGGCTTAGTGCTACATACCACCGAGGACGATTTCTCCTCTCAGCATGACTCTTTTGATGAGGCGGATGTATGCTTCAGCTATTTCCTTGACGCTCTGCCATCCGCCAATACCGTCCGCATCGAACTTGGGGTCCCATATCCCATAGACCTTGCGTCCTAGAGTTCCAACCTTGAAGTAGCTGGTGAGAAGCCCACTGGCATCGTGAATTAAGAATACCGGCGGCGACTCATTCCGAGATCTTGGGATGTCTTGGATCAACACCGGGTTGGCGGCGGGCATTGTGGCAAAAGTGGTGTACTAATGATGGGCAGGTGAGCGATTTGAGAATCGATGATGTTGCTACGCCAGTTCGAGGGAATATTCACAGAATTGAAAGTAATAATCTCTCCAAAGAAGACTGTAGCCTTCAGACCAAGTGTTTGCTCCCCATGAATCGACAGCGAGGCTGGTGTGTTGGCCCACTCTCCCTGCGGTCCGAAATATGGCTTCAACCTTATCCGCAGTTGTATCCGAGCTTCTTCAATGCTTCAATGTTCCAGCTAAGGTTACCCACCACATCCATGCCAAAGAACCATCTTGACTTATCAACAGTGCTGTTCACAGGTACTGGGGCCTCGATATTCAGTATCATCCAGCGATCGCTGCTCGACAACGCACATTCAACCAACTCGTCTCTCGATATGGAGAAACGGGCCTTCCTCCCGCCACAACCGCAGAGCGAGGGTTCAAGCTCAGAACGAACCAGCTTCCACGATGAAACCGATTCAGTGGATTATAGCGCTGCTGTCCCGCAGAAACGAAAAGCACGGCGCAGCGGTATGTGGGCAATAGCCGGAAAACTCGCCTTCATACCCCTAGCAGTTGGGATATTTTACCTGGGGCGCATAACTCACGACATGACTCCCGCACGACCAGCAGAGCCTGTTTCGCTAGGCAAATGCTCCCCGGACTGGAAAGAGTCCAAAGCCCGAGGCTGTGTCTACGATTTCATGCTCTCCACATGGATGCATCCTAAGTGCTTCAATGAAGAGATGCACGAGAAATACTTGGGTTATATGAAATGGAGGAACACGACGTATTGGTACGAACGAGAACGTATCAACGAGGTTCCATTTGATGTGGCTGCCAGTGGTGAGCACGGCGAAATTTTTACAGACGGCACCATCCATCACATGCATTGCAGCTATGTCTGGGATAGGATAACGTATGCGTCGCATTTCAAGCCTCGAGTTCTGGACTCTCTTTGCCGAGACCCGAAGCATGTTGAGCACTGCATCTTGTACAACGGAATCCCGCAGTCGTGGGAAATCGACTTGCCAAACATCACTAGGGTATACAATGAACCTCACGAGGTGGACTGCTTGGTCGGTTAGGTTTTGAGAGATGTGGAAAGAGCAGGGTCTGGTCGGAGGCTGTGATGCGTCATTTGAATTATACAGCGCATACAAGGGGCTTCTACCTCACTCAGATAGCCCAGCATCTACAACAGCATTCAAGTTGAGCGGATGCAAATGTCACGTTAAATCAGGACACCTAAGGTAAGGTACTTTAGCTAAGGCGATTGAGAAGACGTGGAAAGGAGCGTTTAGACATTGACATTTGACGTTAAAAGGAAGTCTTCCAAGTGATGCGATCCATTCTAGCTACTTCCATATCTAAAGTAGGTACTGTACTGTGTCACGGTTCTCCTTCAAATGGTATGAATACCGCTATCCTTCCCATGCACTCTCGCCGTTGCCCGCCATATCTCAGTGTGGTCTCTGCTGAACCTGGTGCACTAACTCAAGGCCTCATTTCGTATATATGCGCCCCAGCTCATGCCAGACCGACCTTCTCCAACTCGGAAAGTTCTGGGAAAGGCAGAATCTCAGTGTTGTTGTCGTAGCCCGCCCCCTCAGGCGCGATGTTCTTATAGCGAATTCCCCTCACCGGATCGTTCGCCCACTTACGCAGCGCTGACCAGTCCCTGCACATGAATTGCTGGTCATCCGTTACATGCCCGACGGCAAAGCCATTCACGTAGGTCATCGGCGTCGCATCGGCTAGGCACATGATGGCTTCGCGGATCGCATTGAGACAGTGGGCTATATGCTTAGGAGCCCACTGTGACGACACGTTGTTTGCCCTATGTCCATACTCCTCTGCAATTGAGATCTACCACAACGTTAGAAAGGTTGAGGCTCACAAGTAATGCCGAAACTCACGAGACAATGCATCTGGTGGAAGGACCGGATGATGTACGTTTGTCGATATGATACTGTAGA